CCAAAACCCCAAAACCCCAAAACCCCAAAACCCCAAAACCCCAAAACCCCGTGTACTATGATTATATATGAAGAGATAAATTACTTAAATTTTGTTAATCATATATCATGAAGTATTAATAATATAATAAAAGAGTGAATTATTCTCAGTATATGGCAGATAGAAAGCTATCCATCGATTCCTAATCAAGTGGAACTTCAACAGAAAATCGCAAGATAAAATCCAACCTTGTGATAAAGAAGCGTTTGCTAAAAAAGCAATCACCTCCTCCATTCTAAATATTAGCCGCCTTATCCTAAAACGGGCATTTTAGAGATGATCTAAGTAAAACTCACACTAATATATCTACGTCACGCAATCCTCAGAATAACTTGCTCTAGATGCCATAGAGTAATACAGGGGTTGATAATTCATTTATGAGCTTTACTGATCAATCGGATTCAGATACATCTGTTATGGATTCACGCAGTGTATTTGAAGGCTTTGAGAACTAGAGCATAGTGAGTTCTCGCATTTAAAAGCCATAGTTTTCTCCAAACCATCAATCTAACCAGAAGCCTAGAACTAACCATTCAATGAACACCTCTTTGGTATCTGGTAGTGCCTCGATGGGAGGAACTCCACTTCTTCAAATAAATATGCAAAGAACAAATGATGAAGCTCAAGGATTAGCTCAGAATGGCAATTAATAGGTTGAACCCAAAAAATTATTCCATCCATTTGCTGATAAACCTAGTCCAGTTGAGGAATGGAAGTAGGTCATAATGCTAGCAATTGAAACAATGATTTAATTTGTCGTCTGGGACATCTTTGGAAACTTCATTAAATATTCAGGAAAGGCTTTGGGCTACATATTTTTCTTAACTCCCCTGCTCCTTATTGGGATGCTCGCTGAGTCCTGCAGACGCCTTAAAAACAAAGTAAGTCTCTTTCTTCATAATGAAATAAAACTCTAAAACTTTTAAATTCAAAAACTAAAAATTCTGTTCTATAGTGTAAAAAAGTAGATAACAATCCTTTCAAGAGAAGTAAGTCTAAGCAGTAGCTTTTATTTGAAACTGAAAATAGCAATCAAAAGTAGGGAGACTTTATTATTGTTGTTGACCTAGATATGACTATGATTTATACCACTATCATAAAACCTGATGAGAATTCCTCTGATTATATATCTCTCAATGTAATCTATCACAACTTAAACTTACTATCTAATAGAAGGAAGACTCTTCATTATAAATATATGTCTATAAAAGGCCTTATTTGGATTAATTCTTGAGAGAACTTTCAAAGATGGGTCAAATCTACGTATTCACAGCGGCTACCAAAGAATATGCTGATCCCATTATAGATGAGTTCGACACCAAAGGATATATTAAAGGCAGATACTATAGAGAGGTATTAATTATTTTAATTTGGATAACTTTCTCTCTTATAGCATTGCTAGCTAGACAAACAAAATAACTACGTTAAATCGATGGAGATCATTACAAATGACTTTAAAAAGCTTGTTATAGTTGAAGACTCTAAGCAAGTATATGAAAAATATCCTAGTATTATTATTAGTATTCTTAAATTTTTCCTTAGAAAACACCATCCTTGTTCCTGAATGGACTAACAGCAATAAAAAAGATAGAGCATTGCTAAAAGTAATTGATATTCTAGAATAATTGTAATCCTCAAATTCAAAGAACATTAGTGAAGACCTAAAAACTACAATAGATATAATAGAGCATGTTGTTAGCTGAGTTTAAAGTTGTATAGATAATTGAATGAAAAAGAATGGTAAAATTAATAATAAAGTGAATACTTAATATCATTCAAATTTGAATAAACCTCTTTTACATTATCCCAATATCTTACGGGGTTTTGGGGTTTTGGGGTTTTGGGGTTTTGGGG